CGCATTGCTTTTCTTGGCGCGCCTGACATAGTCGAGAGGGTCCTCATGGTCGGTCACCACGATGTCGATGTCACTCGTATCTGGTCCATCGATACGGCTCGTGCAGATATCTTGTGGACAATGGCCGTACTTGCAGGCAAACTTGCAAAGAATATTAAGATCCGTGTTCGTATCGTCCCAGGCGACGACATCGACTTCTTTCTCAGGCGGAACCTGTGATGGAATACCTCGGGCGGTGCACTCGCACAAGGATTCTAGGCAGAAGCCGTATTCGCAAGAAAACTCGCAGAGATTGCCAGTATTCAAAGTGCGATCTTCGCCTGATATACATCGTTGCAATTCGCGACGTTGGAAGGTAGGCTCAGGATGCGGAGGCTGATGTTGAGGTGGCCCAGGACGCTTAGGCTGAGAACGCGGAGGCTGAGGACGCGGAGGCTGAGGGCGTGAAGGCCGAGGACGAGGAATCTGAGGACGCGGAACCTGAGGACGTGAAAATCTGAGGCTAGGATCAGATATCTCATGAACCTTCACGCCAGGCAAAACGGTTGCGTTTTTTGGGCCCGCGAAACATTTCCCTTGACTCCAACCCAAAGTAAAATCTTCAACCAGCTCGCGGTTTTCGACAATGTCAATTGCAATGCCTAAGATCCTTTCAGGTCCTCGACTGTCATCGCAAATCTCGACGAGCATCTGAGTCGGATGGCCGGCGATTGGCAGATACGAGATTGCATTCCATGCAGATGTTATTGTTGACTTTGCCAAGGAGCCTCCGCTATAGATACTCACTATCATGCTTCTAGATTGGGCGAAGAGAGTTTTCGTAGGGCAGTTGGAGGGATCTGCAAGCGTTTTCTCTACTGACCGGCCTAGGAGAAGGAAGTCCCGCCTACTGAAATTGTCATTGCCATCGTTGCCTCGAACTACTATGACTTTGCTCTCGACCTCTTGGCCGGTAGACTCACAGGATGCGGAGTACATGCCATCTGGTTGCCGAATACTAAATTGAGAGCTCTTCGCGAGTGACTCCGATGTCCAGTCTATGACTGGACGACTGGAATTGAGCGAGCAGCCGTAGACGGTAGTAGTAGAAGTTAGGTTGGCAAGAGCGTCGGGAAACAATGGTGCAATAAGCATGGGTTCCTGGCAGCGACGTAGGTGGTCAATCGATCCATATTCTGTCCATGTGTTCGTGTTTGTGTGGTTAGCACAAGGTATAGGACATTCGATTTGTTGGCTAGAAGGGGTAGCATCGATTCCAAGTGGTGCTGCGATGTTGATGGTGACATTGTGTAGGACGTCAACTCGTGTGGTCTTGTCGAGCAAAGGATGCGGAGCAGCTACTGCTATCCACGAAAGAAAATGAACTAATTTCATTTTCGTTCTTGTGAAGGATATTAGTCAATTGTCCTCAAATGGATTGTGAGCTGACTGCTAGTGCTTAGACTTGTGTCTGGTACCTTAGGGATTCCAACATGATCAGACGATTTGGTGTAGTCAAAGTTCATTACTGCAGTCAATGGTTTTGCTGAATGAAGAAATGTTTCCAGTCTACTTCATGCCTTGCTGATTTGTAAAGTCATACAATTTGTCAAGTTATGGTCTAAATACCTTTCTGGTTCAGAGCTGGATTCTACTCCTAAGTTTTATGACCGTGAGAGCTACGCTATCACATCACATGTACTTCATAGTGCCTTACGTCTGGGCCAATTTGAGTTGGGGCTTGTGCAAGGTTCGGCAGAAACCATTGTAACCTGTTGTACCCAGGGTATCTATAGAGCTTCAGTGGACAATAGCGTATCTTTTGTGGTTTTCCGAGACGCAAACTCCATATTATTGTAAAATGTTGTCATCTTAGGTTCGACAGATCACGCGACCCAAAACTGATGACCTATCCACTTGGAACACTCAGCGAGCGCATTAATACGTGCTGGCCAAGTAGACTCGGTTGCAAGGTATATCAAGGTTACATACCGACTGGTAGCAAGATCAAAGAGTTTCACCATTTGAAGGGCACTCTTCAGCTCTCGACCTATAGGTCGAATTTCAACAGTCGCCGGACAAACATCTCCAATCACTGGTATAGAGCTATGGTAAGTGGGTATACCTTTCGGGTATCCTGATAGCCCATCGTACCTGTAAAAACCAAAACTAGAAGGGATCCGACTTGACACCTTGAAGATCAGTGATATTTGCTTCAATGAGCCTTGGGAAGCAAAGTTCAGAGAGCCACCCCAACAGGGTTCTACCGCCGAACCTTAGTCAAGCTGTGCCATTTTGTATGAATCTGACGCTATGCCATATTATCGAGGTGTCACCGGATGTCCCACCAGCAACACATGGAACCATTTAAGCGAGCTTCAACTTCTCTTGCCTTCGGGATCTTTTCTTTCTTTAAACACACCTTGATCCTCCTAGGCCTATGCCTTATTCAAAACTGCGGAAATGCCCGAACTCACCGACTGCAGCTACTCCCGCGACGAGTGCATAGCATTGATACGCAACTACTACAGCTTTTTAACGACAATGTATCTCCCTGAAGACGCTGTCATCCATCCTCCAGTTGAAGGTTGGCCTACCATTTCATCGGAAAACTTTCGAGACATGAAAAAGACACCTGAAGTTATTTCCCTTTTACGCCATCTACCCTACATTCGCGTCCCGAGCACCAACCCCCTAGAACAGGCTCAAGGCGCTCCTTGGTGCTATTTCGCTGATTGGCAAAATGTCGGCGCTCTTCTTGAACGCAACATGGACGGCAAAAGCTTGAAGCTCGTCTCGGAAGGCCCTGACATCTGCGACAATGTACCTGCCCATGTGATCGGTCTCACGGATGGTGGCCGCGAAAATCCTATCTTTCTTTTGGATACTGAGCTTGGCGTAATTTACTGGCCCGACTGTCCAGGCGAGATCTCAAATAATCCCTCCTACAACAACATTCAAATTTTCGACGACCCTTACGAGTGGGCCCCGGATGATGAAGCAGACTGGCGCGATAATGCCTCTCGCTGGACGATGAAGGGATTCTTCGAAGTCCTCAAAGATCAGTTTCTGAACTTGAGCTTTATCGCCACCAGTCCAACGGATGTCATTGACGTATACTCAACACCCAACTCAAAATCGGACGGTTCAATCGAGAGACTACAGAATATCTATCGCCAGCATGGCTGGCCTGATGCGGAAAACTTTCGCAAGCAGGAATGCTTAGAAGCTTTAGAGAACGCGATGGAACAGCAGAGTCATATGGTAGGTTAGCGGCGGAGAATAAGATGACGCACCATATGTTGTGTGGGAATGGAGCGAGAGGTCAAGTCATCAGGGTTTCGCCACAGGAACCAAGTCAAATCCAAAGATTTTCATCCTATGTTGAACTTGTGATATCTACACCCCAAATCATCGTAATGATTACTTGCTTGTGTAATGGCGGCGTCAAGAATAATGCTTATGTAAAAGTGGCTTGTCGCCGACCACATCATTTTCTAGTCATACTCACAAAGCTCGAAAACATGGCACGAGCAAAGATATCTTCAGGAGAGTAGTCACCACTCAAGTAAGGATATAATGTATTACCAAGGTCAGCAGAAAACAATTTTGTGTAGTATGCTATCATAATGCCCAGATGGCTGTCATGAAAATCAGCATTGATAATTATTCATTGCAAGATGATATTATCATCCATCAGATAGCAGTTGAAAAAGCGTACAATCTCCTTAGGGCCTCTTGCCTGGATTATGGCACGGCTGCGTCGCAGAGGGACTCATCGTAGAAGCACGTTTCTCTCACTAGCTCATTCACTGGGTATTACATGTCCGGACTGTGGAGGTGACTACAAATGATGTTTAGTGAGGTCGCATGTAATCAGGTCGAAAAGAAGCCTCACAGGCAACCTTGACATGACAATTAAAATAAGAATAAGGTATTCGTCTGGCTTCCCGTCCAGTGGGTCTTCCCCACACCACCTTTTGTACGCCTGCGCGGAGGAGTATGCCAGCCTCAGAAGCACGAAAACATGTGTACAAGAAATCAGACACTTACTTTGGGAACGCAAACAGTGCAGCTATCACTGCAAACTATTTGCAGGCCCGGAGTATCAAAAATAAGCTTCCACTGTTCTTACCAGACGCGACAGAACAGCAAATGAATCCTCCCTTCTGTCTCAACTGAAAAGAGGAAGCGGTCAATTCGGAGACAACTCCAACAGCGGCACCACAAAATTTAAGTAGTCAGGCTTAGCGGCCGTTTCCACCGTCCTAAAATCTGACGGCCATGTTTGCTGTGTTTTGGCGAGTTGAATGGTCAATTCGGTGATCACTTCCCTGATTCGGGATGGCTTAGACCGGGAGGACAGGGCAAAACAGGCAGTAAGGTCTCATTTGCCAACGCTTGGCAGCGCGTAAGAAGAAATGACTTTGCACCCAATGGTGCCATACGCCAGAATCCAACCCGCTAAACCGACGAACCAGCGGCCCGTTGCACCAGCTTCGTCTCGTATGGAGGACGACAATTATGCAGCCACCCGCAGGGCTGACCCTTCAGGTCCCCATAAGCTGAATCCTTTGACGAAAGCCCCTTCGGCCCGCGGCGTTGCGGATCTCATCTTCCAGCCGAACTTATTTCCCGCTAATGTTTAATGATCTTGGTCCCATTCAGGGAACCCTGTTCACAACTTTCTCCCCGCGACAACCATAATTCCAGGAAACTTGTCCTGTCCTTGCACCTCGAAGCCATGGATTTCGACGCGAATCGATGGCGATTCAGCCTCCAAACTTTTGTGACCGCGGCATCCATCGCGGTCCATGCGTCTTTCGCGCAAGAATGCGCGTATGAAGGAGGATGGGCGCTTCGAAACGATAGATCATGTCCGCCGAGCGCACCTGTCGAGTGTGGCACAGGAGCGCAGCCAAGATGCTGCCCCTCGGGCTTCAAATGCACTGGAGATGGTGACTACGTGGGCAACTACTGTTGTGAAGGTTGGTAAACGCTGTTTCGACATTACAATCGACATGATCCTGATCCCAGGTCAATAGACCCTTCTGACTGCAGAGATTTGTCATTAAAATATCCCAAGGTAAGGGCAACTACCTTATAATCCAACCTCTCGAGCTTTTGAGCAACGCTGATTTTGCGCTTCCATCATAGTGCCCTAATTCAGATTGGACTCTCTGGGGGGTCGACGGAAAGCTCGACAATGGTGGATGGTGCTGCCAATCCGGGCAAAACGGGACATACCGCGATAACTCCAACGGAATCGCCCTGCTGTGTACTCCCACGACGGCGACAGCACTTGCTTCAGATATCTTCTGGGCCGAGACAGTTAGCACCTCATCCTGTTCCACGTCATCGACGAGCTCGACACTTGCCACAGCCTCAGCGACTGCGACTGCAGCATCCACGGCCGCAACCACTACTGCCGGAGCCTCCGCCACGACCGCGAATACGGCCACCGCCACGCCGTCGGGAACGAACGATTCAACTTCAATGTCCACCGGAGCGATAGCCGGTGCTGCGGTCGGAGGTGTCGCTGGCGGAATCCTGATTATTGCGGGAATCTTCTTCCTGTGGCGAAAGAAGAAGAGAAGCTCGGCCGATGCAAGCCCTACGACGGAAGCGGGCTCTTCGGCGTGGGCATACGAACGAAAGGATGGACAGAGATCGGGAGGAAATGGTGGCGGCGTGAACGAGCTCGCAGTTCCAGAGCCACGGGCAGAGATGGATTCCGCGATGCAACCAACTTACGAGCTTGATGCTGCGGCATCAAACACGCCCGAACTAGACGCGGCGCACTCTGGTGCAAGACCGGCTCAGAGGGACGATTTGAAGTACCGATAGAACGAACATTTTACGTGATACCCCGGCATGCATTAGACTGTACCTAAGTTACAAACAAAAGAGAGAACATGAAAAGACCGCTCGATGTAGCAGAGCAACATTATACGGAAACATGATGATCCAATGCTTTGGCAGTTCATGTTTAATATCCAATATTTCCGATTGAATCGCCCATCGCGCAAGCGTAGTCCTCCGTCTGACCCGCCGTCTGATCAGGTAGCACAAGCAAGGCAAGTAATAACAGATACCTGAAAGTTAAGTTCATCGCACGATCATACTGCACACATTTAGGTGCGCTCCTTCCGTCAAGCAGAGAGTGCATCGGCAATGACTTTTCTCATCACAGATGACCACTCCCTTTGCGATGTTGGGTGACTGATGCGTAACCGTCTTTGGTTTGGTAAGACTTGCGGCCGTCGGGACACATTTCTGGTCAAGAGTCAGCCATTAAACAGATAGAGAAGAAAATGAAGGCCTGCGCAACGGCTTACCACTCAGTATGGAGAGAAATGTGAATGCCGTCAATCCCACCAAAATAATAGGCACAAGCTGCCCAAAGGAGGTTGCATCGTCTTCTCCACTCTGCCCGCCTTCGTCCAGCTCAAGCCATCGTGACCTTTTCACCCAACGTCTCAGATTCATGATGTATAGGCTTGGCATCACTACTGTTGTTCCGCAGATGCCTATTCCGCCAAGAAGATATACTCCGTAGGAGAATCTACCAATACCGGAGATAAATCTGACAAAGCAGTTGTCGCGCTTGCGCCAACCACTATTATCGACGGCTTCGCGACTTTTCTTCCTACTTCGATAACAGCATCGGCCCAACTCTGCAAAAATGGAGACACCGTACCAAATCAGAATGATTAGGTAGAGATTCCAGCCCTGGATGTAGTTTCCCGGAGTGCTATGGAGCAGCGCCTTCTCCGCCGCCGTTCCATTTCTCACCGAGTCGAGCAGGAGGTGCTTCAACTGTTCAACCCCGTCTTCTCCGTTTTGAAAGCACACAGCCTGAGATAATAGCAAGCTGTCTGTTTCACTACTGGGCGGCACCTTTGTTGGAAAAGGTATGTCGTTACTGGCGTTCTGATTGGACAGTAAAAGCCCAGTCATGGCGAATACGGCCGTGATAAAAAAGACTCGTAAACAAGCAAGGGGAAGCCTTTCGAAGTAGTTCTTTGAAATTACAACGGACATGAGATGCGTCGCACAAGTGAGCAGTAGCATGTTTGCGACAATGTTGTAGTGGTAAGCGGTTATGAAGCAGCCTTTCCAAAACCTAATGGTAACTAGATAGGCACCGCCTGTGAAGACCTGTTGGTCGCTGCAAGAGACGACGAGAGCTTGAAAAAACTTCGATCGGCTAAATTTGCTAGCCCAACGTGGTCTTTGGAAACCAGAAGTCTTGGTCCCACTCCACGGCTTGCTGTCAGCTTGACATCCAAATTCGTTTGATTTCTGAAGACGGCGTCTTACCTTTGATGCTTCCTCGAATTATGTTTTACTGCGGTCCATACGACGTCGAACACGCCAATGGCGAAGGCGAAAGATGCGACAGCGATAAAGACGGCTACAATCTTGAAGACATGTTAACTCCTCAACACTAAATGAACAATTAGTGGCAGTTATACGTACACCGATGCCCGCGATGTCCGGCTCAGGAGGTACTTCGCCGCGCTCATAGCCAGCGATAGTCTGGAATCCTCCAGATCCGTTCGTGGTGACATTGCAGTCCACAGTCGTGTTGTAATGGCTCTTGCACTGCTCTGTCGATATGGAAGCTCCCATGATGGTTCACTGGCGATAATCTCGGCCTTTAAGACAACAAAAGTAAAGACAGGCTTCACATGTCGCTGAATCGTTGTCAGCCGACGAAGGAAACCTCTTGAGACTTTATGTCATTGTGAAGGCCATGTGAAAGTATGTGTTCCCATATGGTGATAAGGCTGGCCTCAACCTCCCTCCCTTCATCGTCAAACTGGAAAGTGTGACTCGAGCAGGCTGCATGGGAAAGACATCATGCTTACCATGGCGTTCTCGTTCTGTACCCTCCAGCCGCAACAAACAGGGATTAAGCTACCCTCCATGTCAGACTAAGCTGCACTTTATCTCAGCCCCGACGAGTTCGGGGGAAGCTAAAACACAGTTCCCCAACGCCACGTGGGGGCCATAGCGGATTATAGCTAGCTTTTACTGTTTCAGTGTGCGACCCTACACCTGTAGTCTAGGCTGTAGGATTCATTCGCATGATGTGCGTTCACTAGAGTGTTGAGGGTCCGATGGTGGTGTTGTGACATGTCTGCCAGTTGGTTCATGCAGGTTACGTATAAATAATCGCGGCTAGACGTCCCAAGAGCTAGGTGATGGCATGCACGATGGCGGTGGCTCCCAAAAAGCATCTACGGGCCAAGATTGACAGGATGTGTAGGCCAGGGATAGCGCGAAAGTCCTAATAAGGGAGAGACATTAAGCACCTATCACGAGGAGTTGCCACTCCGTTGTGTCTTGTAGGAATACCTCCCAATACGAGAATTTGGGAGAGGGGGTGTTGGAAGATGGGAGATTAGAGATGGGAGATAGGAAGTCTAGGAGGGGCTAAGATCGAGAACTGTACATTTACAAGGCAACTAGCACCATTCACTGCAAGACTATTTCAAGGGTCGGATTGCTTCATTAGCTCAATACATTCGAAATCCTCAAGTCTCCTTTGATCAAGGCTTCAGAGGGCTACCAGCGATGATGGCCTGCAGAGGGTTGCTGGCCATGTACGAGAAGCCCAACTTAGCTACAATAGTCAGGAGCCCGGTCGCAAGTAACATAGCAATGGAAAAGCCAACAAGGCCAAATACCTCCAAATGACCCACACCATTCGTAGGTCGCGGCCCATCTGCAGTCTCGGCGCCAGTCTTCGCATCATGATGCGGCACGTACTTGAACTCGTATTTGTACCCTCCCTTCAGGGTATCCTTGTTCTCCACGATGTAATCCCAGAACAGAGCTCGGAATGTCTGACGACTTTGGATTAGCACGTAGGAATGATTGTGTAGGCGTATTCAACTTCATAGCGGGCTTACCTTGATTTGCCATCTATCCCAGGCAGGAATAGAACGCGACATATACGTAATCACCATCAGAGTCCAGATGATACCTCTGATGACAGCATCCCAGTACAGACCCGGTTTCCCAAGTCCGACGTCATCGCACATCTCATCTCCGTTGATGAAGCGAGTCCCGGCCTCGAAGAACTCTTTCGGTTCATAGATCGGAGCAACGCCGTCCAAAGCAATGACCAGGTTATTCGCCAAGGCTTGAGAGTTCTTGCTCGGGGCAAGGCAGGCCTTCAGAAGTGACTCCATAGACGCCAATGCCCGTTCAGGTGTTTCCAAGATCCAGTGAGGGGTACCCAGGACGTAGCCGACCCATCGCCATAAAGCGAGGTAGTCTAGAGCTTCTTGTTGGCGAACGTAGATACCCTGTCGGGGCAGAGCCAGCCATACGAGGTTGGTGGAGAATGCACACACAGATTGCATCGAGTCAAGTTCGTTGATGGGGACGCCGTATTTACCGACATCAAAGTATCCAGGACGCTGTGCGTTGAGCTTCAGGATTCGTCCTCGCACCGCGGCATGCAGTAACCTGACGCGCACGGCTGAGGCAAAGCCTTCGCCTCCAGGCTTGATGTCGTCGAGGGATTTTGTGACCTGCAGAAGGAGCTGAAATGTCTCAAAAAGTCTGTTCTTGGCGACTTTTGCGGAATGCCCGCCTGTACGAACCAATGTCTCTGCCGGTCGGTACGAGGCTCCCTGTAGATCGCATTAGCACTTTCGACGAGAGTTTCTCACATCCGCGTCTTTTAGAGTCATTAAACTTACAGTCGTAGCAAGCAGTCCCTGGAACGCAAATCCAGTAACTGCAGCAGGTGCATAGCGGTAGAAGACGTCCTGCCCACGCTTGATCTGGTCCCAGTCGACCCACTCAGGCACGGCGTTGACTTCGTCCCAGAGCTTCATCAATCTCGGATCCTTCTCGCGATGGTCCCGAAGCAGAGCGTATGTATCGCGATCAGGCTGTGGGTCTTCCTGCTTCCCCTTGGCGTACCACCCAGCCCGAGGCGGCGGGGGAGGGAACATGCCATCTAGAGCTGCGAGGGCCTCTGACCCCACTTCATCGAACTTATGCTTCAGCGGGTCAAGCTGCTCTGCTGACATGTGAAGCTCCGTCTGGCGAAACTTGTAGCCATATGAATCGATAAGAGAAGGCGCCATTATGGTTCATGCAGATACGCAATGAGTACTTATGATTCGGCAAAACGTCTGGTCGGATCAAGACACTGTTCTTCTCAAAATGAATCAAATCGGAAAAGCTCTGCTCAACATCTACATTTATATCCAAAGATCATGTCCCATAACACAGTAAGCTACCCATGCAACTGAGGCAGCACTAGTCCTAATCTGTGACATTCGTACAGTTGCCCAACGACTGGCCCTATCAACTCCCATCCCTGCGCATGCCTCAATGTTCCACTCGTTCGAGACGGTCAACCCAAACTCCATACTGCAAGCCAATTGACTCCGCGAATAAGTTGCATGCGACGTTGATGGTAGCATAGAAGGCGGAGAATTATCTGACAGGTCACTCTCCACCACGGCTGCTGCTGCGAGAGCACTAATAAGGTAGCAGGATAGCCGAGAGATGTCAGCGCCAAGGCGTAGACTGCGACACATGGGAACCCGATCGTCATCATCCTCCCGTCTGACGGTCTCTTCATCGCTTTCAGTAACACACCTTTTTTCCAATGAGAATCGATGCAACCAACGCCGCCGGGTATGGGTGCTCCCTCACTCTAAGGTACTGGCATAATCGCGACTGAGAGCGACAATCTGTAAAACCGGATGTTACAGAAGAGGTCTCCTTCCAACATGCAAATGTTACCATCATGCAGTTGAATTATATGCACCATACGTTTCACAAGGTTTGTTCCCGCATCTCAGTAATTGAAACCAGACTTAATTGAGCAATAGAATCCGCTTAAACATTCAATGCTAATGCTACGCATCAAAAACACTATATAATGAAGGCCGCAGTCACTTAAGCATTGACGCAGCTGAAGTCAGACCTGCTGTAGTATCCGCACTTTTCCGTCGTCGTCTTCCAGGCCCGGCAGTTGCCGCACACGCGGTCGACCGTGACTCTGCACAAAGAGGAGCTTCCGTAGCCGTTGGTGCCGCGCCAGTCCGAGGTCGTCAGCCCTCGGTCCGCGCCAGAGATGCGGGCCGAGACGGTGGAACCATACTCTATGGGGTTGGCGTACTTATCAAACTTGCTATATCCCAGAATATCACAGTCAGTCCAACATTCATATCTCAATGCTAGGTTGATGAGAGAGGTGTTGTTCTTACGCCGTGCACACGCAGTCCTGGGCGGCAGGGCAGTTGCCGCGAGCGACGAGCTCGACGTTCTCAGCGGCAGGCGCGCCGGGGGCGGCGTAGGCGGTGGAGAAGAGGGCGATGGCCACGGGGACGAGGGAGAACTTCATGTTGACGAAAAAAGAGTTTTGAAAGAGTGAATTGAAGTTAGAGACTTGAGCAACTGGTGAACGAGCGAATGAGTGACTGGCGTTGAAGGCTGAAAGGCTGGACCAACGTATAACTCCCTTCGTCTTTAACCTCCATCTTCTTATATAACGTCGGCAGGGCACTTCGTAACGGGAGTCATGCCAACGGCTCGGCATCAAACCATGAGCGTTTTCCCCGATACCATCTAGACAGATTGCGATGAGACGAACTAATTCGATAGAGTTCGGATCGAACCCGATGCTTTGGGGCGCCTCGTCTCATGTTTGACCCAGTAATTCCCTATTGTAGAGCGCTGCGGCGAGAGAAAATCCGTGCTTTCCAGATGAAGCAGAGAAAGGATAATTGATTATTGTTCCAGACTACGGCACCGGCGGCCCCGGCGTCGTGGCCTGGCTCGCTGCTGAGAATAAGATTAGGCTTGGGCGGTGTCTAAAATCACCGCATTTCGTACTGCGAGTCAGGCTACTAGCTCGAATTGCGGGCGGTCGGTCTGGCGATGCCGTTGGCGCGCGCAGCCCAGGTGACTTGTGAGAGATTAGGCCGTTCAGAAAAGCGAGGTGCAATCTGATAACGCGAGTCGTCGCCAAGAAAGCAGTTTGTGAGGCGCTGACAGTAAACCTTGGCGCTTCGAGCTTTGAGATTGTGAGGAGGGAGCCATGATCTCCACGGTTACGAGCACCGATGATGCGCATTATTCACTGAATTCATAGACATCAGTGTACTTCTTTCTCTCGACGCATTGAGCCTGAATCAGTGGGATGAAGCGCTGAATATTCTATTCAATAGCAACTAAGAAGTGCGCTCGCTATGCTCCATTTTAGTTTAATAGTCCTGTCTCTTCCTCAATACCCCACTACCTTACTCCGAAATGAGGTTGCCAACTGAGAGGGCCTCTAGCACTTGAGGTCTCCGTCGATGTTGCTCAAGCACGTGTCTAATCCGATTAGTCGGTACTGTCATGATAATGGATGAACTTCCCATGATAATCTTACCCAGGTTCAGGGACGAAGGTCTCTTCGTTCCGGTGGAATCAGTGCAGCGGCAGTTCAAGATCTGCTTCTTGTCGCCGCCAAGACCGCAGTCGCAGAACTTGAACGATGGGCTTTTACAACATGTCAGTATAACAATCGGCTCGCTTCAAAAGGTATGGCGTACTTGGAAGGACGGCACTGCGAATAAACCACATTAATTTGAATTCAACGTTGTAGCCACACAGAGCTCGAGCTTCTGGGTGTAAGACTTACGACGACCTTGCCTCCGACATTGGCCAGGCACTTGGTCAGATCCAAGTCTGTCGAATAAGAGTCCTCTTGGGAGGTGTCCTGGCAGTACGATTTAACGCTGGTAGAGAAGTAGGACGTTCCAGAGCATGTCGCTGAAAAGTCGCCAGCAGCGACTTGAAGGGCAGCCATGGCCAGAAGAGGAAGAGTAGCGAGTACGCGCATGGCGAAATGAGCTGATGAGTGAATAGTATTGAAAGAGTGGAAGAAGTGAATGGGCAAAAGAGTGTGGGATTAGCAAAGCTGGTGATTCCAAAGATGGACGGAAGAGTTTCTAGGAGTTGTGCTGTGTTTTATAGGTTTCTAGTATACCAGCAAGAGCTTCCTAGCAAGTCTGGCCGGGCGGGATAAAAGCACGGAGTACTTGATGAGATAGTTGACTAAGCTGAGTACCTTACCCATTTACCGAGTCGTAACTATGTGAAGCTTGATACATTAGGTAGAAACCTTAAACTACTTGAAGCTTACATGACTCTTGCCGCCGCGCAACGCGTGGATGGCGGTAAGGGCACCAGTTAGGCGAATATTTCACATTTTCGGAGGCAAATTCCGTTCTCCAGATACCATAGTGCGCGGATAGATTAGAAGTCAAACGGGCGCTGCTAAATGAGAATAAAGGTATCGATTGTCTCTAAATTTCCGAAAAAGCTGACGATTGAAACACACCTTAACCCAAGAGCTCATGCAGACCTTCCTCCTTCAGTGTCTCCCTCACAGCCTCTAAAACCTTGGCGTGGACCGACGGCGGTGCCGCGATGAAACCGTAGTTTGCCTTCATCTTCCGTCCCGCTACGAAATTTACCGGGTTGCCGTCGACATCGGTGACCTTCCCGCCAACCTCCTCAAAAAGCAACATAGCGCCCGCGTGGTCCCAGATCTTTGCGAGACGATCACGCCGCCGGTAGGCCCAGAACGTGCAATTCGCCTGGCCGAGACCAAGGACCGTCCACCGAAGCACCCAACCGAGCAGATCGTTGCCTGGGTACGCTACACCGAGGCGTTCGGCGACTTTTTGGTGGATACCCGGAGCCCCAGACTCGGAGCCCTCGATGCATGTCACTGACACCAGGGATTGCGTCTCCACGTCGGCGTGGCGGGGGATCTTTGTGGGCTCGAAGTCGATCGGGCCAGGGAGCGGCCGGATGAATGTTCCGTGCCCTCTGACTGCGAACATGATGCTGCCGGTACCGGTGGGGTCGATGGAGTCGTTGTTGATGGGCGCCTTCGCGTCGGCCGAGAGCAGCGGCAGGCCGACGATGCCAACACTCTGCTTCCCTTCTTCCATCAAGCAGACGTTGATGGCGTAGAGCTCACCCCGCACAAATGTCTTTGTTCCGTCAATAGGGTCAAACACCCAGAAGCGGCCAGTAGGTGAAGGGTCGCTAAGGCCGCACCAGTCAATCATGTCGCACATCTCCTCTGGTGACGTAGGCAGCTTGCATAATGAGTCGGCGGTCTTGTCGTTCTCGACCTGCTGCAGCAGCGCCCATACAGACTCAAGAAGTTTGGGGTTCTCGCGGAGGTCGGCGGCGGACTCCTCGCCCACAAATTTATCGTCGGGGAAAGCGGCGTGCAGTGTGCTCGTCAATAGGGCCTGGATGGCGAAGTCGGCAACGGTGACTGGGCTGAGGTCCTCTTTTGTCACGACGCCCTTGTCATCTTTGACGAGAACACGGCGGCTAAGCTTGGCGCCGTGTTGGATGGCTGCAATGGCAGTTGCCAATTCTCGAGCATATGGTCCGTCCATTTTCGTAGCTAGGTGATGCCGTCTATCGGGGAGAACGGTGAAATGAGGTGGGTGGTGTTGAGAGTAGTGTCGACGATAGGTGGGGTGAATTTGACAGCGCTGATCAGTGATCGTGCTGAGTGGGTTCGGTGAGTACCAGTTGATGAGTCAGGCAATTAATGTGGATGCGATGTAAATGCAGATGCGGATGCGGTTGTTCACCTCATGCAGGTTTGATGTTCGCAACCGGGAAGATGACTGGCGGGAGTGGTGAACTGCGAATGCCGCCGCGTGAATGTGGTTGAATGCAGTTTCTAGAATGGTGCCGATGATGTCAGACCACAAGTTAAGGTAGGGTAGGCGCGCTTTTCCCAAGCGCCTTCCCGATGCAAATTTTGCCGGAAGAACTCCGGTGACGTGGGACCTGGAAGGAGTGGCCTCGGCATCGGCGTCGGCAGCCCCGGTTCGAAAAGCGGGCCCATATCCGTTATCAAGAGCTTCGGATCCGATCTTAAATGGAGTAACCACGACATGTAGTGTGGAAGGAGCTTACAAATGGAGAGTAAAGAGTATCACAAGGTCTTGGCTGCTGAAATATATATAAGTTATAAGTTACAAAGGCAACAAGCCGCGTCCTAAGCTTAACTATTGGCTCCAAATCTCATTTTGGCAGATCCCATGTGCAGGTTTGCATGATGTATTTCCCTGGTGGAGGTCCGGTAAGCGATCCCGCCATTCAAGTCGCGGTGAGGGAGAATCAGGTACTTACTGTCTTTCCATGTACGTTTCTTATGGAACAGCACAGCTCTCAAATACCAAAGCCTGGTACACCACACGGCCGCCAGCGCATCTCGCATCGCCCGGTCCAGGGATACCAGGATGTTGAGACTATACATGCCGCTATTGGATTCCTCAACCGCTATCCTTGTTCCCTTACCGTCAAGCCAGTCGAAAACTTGGTTGTTGCGGCGAACGTCGAACAGTAGCTCTCGCGCTTCGTGATACTCGGTCCTGTCGCTCGCCTTCCGCCGACCCACTAGCCAGGCTTTGCATTCGCTCTTGCCGATTTTCAAAAACTTAAGCCCGATACTACCTAGGCCACTTCGGGATGTTGGTTTGATGTAGTACGGGAAAGTCTCCTGGAGAATAGCGGGCGGGCGTTCCAAGTTGAAGATGTGCCTCGAGTTTGTGACAATTTCGGGCAGATGATTCGACTCATTAGGCCGTTTCTTGATGCTGTAGTCGATGCGGCTGAACTCTACTAGTCTATCGGTTTCTCGCAGGAAGTCTATCTGGTGGTTGATCTCGAAGATCCCCGGCGCATCCGCACTCCGGGTGTTGGCGGAATGGATGAATCGGCCAGCCAGGCGAAGTGTATCTGGCGGCAAATTCTCTGAGACAGTACCAGCATCTACCGTGTAGTCTGGCGGAAGATCGGGGTTGGTGTTGACTTGTGCCATTTGCTCTTTCAACGTCTTCTTCTCTGGATCTAAAGCCAATGATGATTATCTGGGCTGGCTGAGCAACGGCTTCGAAGAACAGTTGCACAGGTCAAACTATTGTAGCAGAAGTAGCGCCTCGAACATGATACTGATTGAGTGGATTGCAGTGAAACGAAAGCCTGGCGGTCGAGCGTGGTGACATGTTTTTGATGAATGAGGTCATGTGCAACATCGAATGAGCCGTGACAGGCCCAAACGGCAAGCGTTGCCTGAGCATGCTCCTGCACGTGCAACAGACAGTTAATTGGCTCCTTTGTTTGGCTGCCTAAGTAAGCGGGCGATGAAGAAACGTTGAAGCGCTACATCGCTCGGGAGTGCGGCAAACGTGATTGGGCCCTGTGCTCTGTCAGCAACTCGCCTGAATCTGAAAGTGCGGCATAATGTCGGAAATGCCTCAACGTTATGGTCAGCTGCGCCTAGTTTTGCCCGACTTGTATGGCAAATTGTCGAGAACCGAATTCGTGAATGCGGGTGGCCTCAAAATCAACTAGATTCACGACACAGGCAACAGTTTGAAGTCATGTACACAACCTATAGAAACATATATTTTTGCGCCATTTTCAAACCCTCGCAAATTGTTCAAGATCCAGATTGTGATTAAATCTCATTTTGTCTAAGTAGTTACACTTACTAACTCATCAATGCACTTTTGCCTCAATCTAGTTCCAGGACAAAATTCCATTCACACATCAAGGTTGGACTGTAAGAAATCCGCGAACAAGTCACGCATGTGTGGTCGACAATCGGAATGGTTGTTGATGGTTTCTTATTCAGACAGTAAAAATGATACGATTTTGGGAATGCCCGCTCATATACTATGGCAAAAAAATTGCCCTTACAATAACGACCAACCGGCGTTAGGTCCATTTGTCTACTTCAGCCTCGAGGCTATTCACCAAGGCACACGTACGTGCGAGTCTTCACGCTGTTACCTGTTTGTATGCCTAGTACGGGCCCGTGAGATGGATATCCAGCTCCTAGCACGATAAAGGTTCATTGAATATTCTACTGAGCCTCATGTCACTGGTATGGTGTGTGCGCCGTCAAAGATAAGGCTGAGTCTGTGCTGTTATGAGAAGGTTGCAGCTCAAAGCCCCTGCTTGCATACCCGTCCGTGCCGTTCCTATGAGCTGGATAAGGTACTGGACTGCTGGCAGGCTCGAGGAGTAGCTTCGGGGACTATTGCTGGTCCCGTATCTGTCAGATGCAAAGCAGTGCAAGGGTAGTTGATAACTGCAACAACTTGGAAAGGAAGTCGCAGCCGTAGATCATACTCTGTCCGGATAGCCACGTTCGGCATGTTATTGCAGCTGCTATCTGCACCCTAGGCGTAGGCTCTTGTCCCTGTCTTACGTCTCTTCGGGGTATTCTGGCCTGATTCAGCCTTGTGGTAAAGTTGACAGGCCGTTTGTGCTCTTTTGACCTAGCCCGGAAGAGATAATTATAGATCTCAAAACCCTTTCTAGAGTTGCAGATCGTCTATCGGTAGATGAATATGTAGACTGCAAACTCCTGGGGAGTGAAGCGAGTACAGCCAGCGTCATTTCACAATGTCTACGCGAAGGAGTTGGAATTGGATTACTCTGGCTGTGATGGCTCACCGACATGGCATTTGCTGCTTGTCTATGGTGAAAATTTGATGGAAAGAACTCATCGAACTATGTACTTCAAGATGCGATTAGGCAAGTCAGGGTCTAGATGGGCAATCCAGGCCCAGGTTTCATTCATACAAACACGTGCATAGCCAGCCGTCACAAGCTCCGGAGGTGTTGTTGTCAAGGATGAGAAGCAGTTGCGACATTTAATTAGAGATTCGGTCTAGGGATAGGCTCACTGGTGCGACATGGATGATGGGTGAAGCATACGGGTAAGCCCATTGGACACTGAGTGCAACAAACACAAAAAAAAGTCAATCCTTTAATTAACCCGAGAGTTTC